AAAATCCTATGTTATAACAGGGTTCATACGGTCCTTAAAAGTCCTTAATTTTTTCAAAAATGAATTTTGGTCCTTAAAAGTCCTTAGTTTTGGCCAAAATGAATAAACGGTCCTTAATTTTGCTCATTTGACATTTCTTATCATTTCTAATGATTGCCATTCTAAGTGTGAATTACGATTTCTCATGAATATGGAATTAAAATTACACGGCTCTTAACCAGTCTGTTGGCAGATTTGCGTTGCAAACGAATAAAAAAAACAAATTAGCTCACCCGTAGAACGAAAGTATCAGGTGTCTGATTGGCTATTCACGCAATCTTTTCGAAACAGGTGTTGTCCATAAATTTAGGCAGACTTGTGATGAAAGCGTGAAGGCCAGAAGTTTCTTTAAGAGGGCGAAAGTGATGATGAAGGTGCTCGAGAAAAAAAAAGGGTGGGGGGATTCTGAAAATATTTGTCCCAAAATTAGAGCAATCCCAACCTGGAAGGCCACAACCCTTCCGAACGCCAATAGGAACGAGATGCCTGGAAAGTGCATTTTCAATAAACTGTGGCTTCATCAAGCTGACTACTAAAAGACTGGATATTGATGGATGACAAAGCTCCTTTAAAGCTAAATGTGGTCTTTGTCTGAAACAAATTGAAATTTCTAGAATGGGAGAGTCAGCGCTGAAAATTCACATGAAAATTAAGTTTCGTTTTATCATTTCAATTTGTTTTTACAACGGTTTTGCTTAGCTTAATTTCTGTGTTTGTTTCAATTTAAGCCATAAATTAATTTTTATCACCTTCTACAGCGGAGTTTATTCTCTTTTGCGCACATACTATATGTATGGGATATCGGAATTATGAGTTTATTTCTGCAGAGGGTCTGTTATCGATTTCGCGGGAAATCTGTTGGCTCCATTTCGAATTTTAGGTCACCAAGGGCAAATTCGGTAACGCTAGCCGAGAAAAAGTGAAGTTCGGAAATACGTTTTGAAGCTTCAATAGACAATTAAGTATTTGGTTTAAACCTATTTGTTGATAGTAATGCATAATTTTGCTAATGGCGATACAATTAGTAGTTGAAAATAACTAATTAAAAACTTTTAATATTTTAAAGCTGAAAAACTACTAATTGAAACTTATTTTCCTGAATTAACTAGATGGCAAAATTAACTTTCATGAATTACTAAAGTTATTGGGTAGAAGTTTAACTGAAAATATACATTCTGTATTTTATTATATATAATATATATATATATATATGTAATTACTCAATTGTATATATTGTAAAAAGCTAATTGTCTTCAGACATATACTGTTACTATACTGTTACTAAAAAAATGGGCCTATTTCCTGCCTTTAGACTGTCTACTAGCTCTTGAACAGCGAAAATGCCTTTTTCCTTTCTTAAATTCTTAATCATTGCGGCACGACAATTAGCCAGAAATTAATTAATTTCCATTCACTAGTATTTTTAAAAAAATCTTAACAGACGGTCTCTCTCAGATAAGAACTCCACAAATACATCCCTCAAGAATTCCAAGTCCCACCCACTACATAAATTTCTTCACCCAAGTCTTACCGACTGATATAATTCAAAGCCCTACTGCCACTAAGAATTTTCGGACACCCTACACTTCTGAGTCAGACACGAAGAGAAACACATGCCAACTCTCCCACTAGAAAGAATGTAAGTTACTTAATACCTTTCTGGCCTTTATATCTTCATGTACATTCACTGATCTTATTTATATTATTTTCTATTTTATTTTTATATTATTTTTATGTTTTCTTTGATTTGTTTTTACAAAGTTTGCATTATTTATCTTTTTTATAATCTTCTATGTTTATTTCAACTTTACTTTGATTTCGATTTCATAATGACAATTCCAATGTTTAATTTCTACAAATAATATAGTACTCAAATACATAAAGATGATAGTGTCGGGGACGATTACTCGAGTTTTACAGGATTTCTCTACAGTAATTGATCTTTACTCCAAATTGAATTGACTAAAATGCTTCATGAGAATAAGTTCTTTGAGTAATACTATTCGCGGAAATATTTGGCCTGACTAGAATTGCCGGTTTGGCTTTAACTTATAACTCGAGTAAAGACGAAACACTTTCATATTTACGTATTTTTATCATTATTGATCATTGAACGGGAGTTGGTTTGTTCCCTTGAAAAGTCAACTAATTTCCGATCAATGACAATAATTACATGTTTTAATTTTACTTTTACAATTGTAATATTATTCTTCGTGATGATTTAACTCCAGTCCCCGTTAAAAAAATTATTAACATTTTGCTTTCAATTACTTCAAAACATCTTTCAAAAATATAACTTACCAGTATGGATGCACACTTTTAAAATAATTCTACTTTAATTAAACTTAGGAGATAATATAATCAATTAATCAATACTGTTTAGGAAATAAATTATTATTATTATTATTATTATTATATATATATATACAGTACAAAGTCCGAGGTCGGGACTTTGGCGATCCCAGATTTGAGATTTTTCCGGATATTAGATCATTTAAAAATCTACTAAGATGGCACGTAGAAATTATAAAATTGAAAATATGAAATCGTGATTATGAAATAATGAAGCATTTATGATTTAAAGGGTATCAAATTTACAAAAGAAAAGAGCTTAATATTTATATGTTTACTTTATTAAACATTCTTTCAATGTGAGTTGTTTGATTTGTTTTCTCTGCTCATACTTTAGACTAATACTATAGACATATAATTTCTTGTTCAGTTATTAAGTTCCATTGTTCAAGGTCTTGTAACTGCTGTGTCGAGAATTCCGAATAACTTGTCTATCAAAATTTTTTCTCGTTCAGTAACCTCTCTGTTACTTTCTTCACTATCGGTAGCTGTATTTTCTGGATTTAAAACCATACTACAGATTTCGCCCTCCGTTGATTGATGATTGGGCATTGTCATCGCAATGAAAAACTTCTGTTTAACTTCGCTAAATTCTGCCGCCTGGTGCGGCTATGCGAGCTCTGGCGCTGGTTCTGGCTTTATGTGAATAACAAATCAGTTATTCTTAATTCAAATGGCACTAAATATAATCGTTTGTCCTATGAGTATCATTAACAAAATCTATTTTTAGCATAAGGAAAGAAATTTCTGCTAAATCTTCCCTTGTCAACATTTTAGCGCATTAAACTTAAATCTGTAATCGGATAATACTCTGTTTGGCGTCGCTGCATGATTCATCACTCAAGTTGTCATCCGTTGATAAACATGCCGTGATGAAAGCAAAATACAATAAATAATGATTCGCGATTTCGGCATCAAGGATATAAAATATTAGTTGGTGTAAAATTAACAAATGTTTCGGTTTGAGATTATGCCAAGCAGATACACAGCTATGGAGTCAAGTTACTAATCATACAAATTTATGCTAAAATAATTATTTCTTCAATAATGAGATATTTTATTTGGCGCCAAACTGAGATTAAGAATCGGGCTTTCCGGCATGTTTTTTTTATGATGAGGAAAAAAATCTAATGCGCATGCCTAAAGCATACCCCTTCCCTCCAAAAAAGCCCTAAAAAATTGGTTTGTGGTGGCTTTGAGGTCCGGATTTTAGATCATTCCAGATATTAGGATGTCCGGATGTCGGACTTTGTACTGTATATATATATATATATATATATATATATATATATACACATCTTTCAAAATATAACTTACCAGTATGGATTCACTCTTTTAAAATAATTCTACTTTAATTAAACTTAGGAGATAATATAATCAATTAATCAATATTGTTTAGGAAATAAATTATATATATAGTAAAAAATGTATATTTTCACTATTCAAGTATTCACTGTGACAAGTATTCTTATCTTGTCACATGAACAGGCCTCTGTGGACAGGGGCTTTTCTGTAAATAAAGCAGTTGAAATTGAAAATTTAAGTGACTCATCATACATTTTTCAATGCACAGTATTTGATTACATAAAATTTTCTGGAGGTGTTCTTAATATCGAAATTAATAAAGAAATGAGATCAGCAGCAGCTTCTGCAAGAAATGGAGTTCGTTATTTAGAAGTTCAGTATTTAGAAGAACAAAAATCTTTAACTAAATCTGAAAATTCAAAGAGGAAAAGAAATATTATTGAGGAAGAAATTGATTATATGAAGCAGAAGAAAAAATTTCTTCAAAGGGACATTAAAGATATTAATGAAAAAGTAGATGCTTTAGCAGATGAAGCTGAGACCAGCAGGAACATTGATTTGTTTATCAAAGCAAATGAACTTAGAAGAATAGTTAAAGAAAAGGAAAGATTTCAGATTTAAAAAAAAGCACAAATGTTTTGTATCTTTTATTGTACAGTTTATTATTCTAGTATCTTTCAAAAAAACCAAGGAAATAAATTGTATGTTTACAAATCAGTTATTTTAATCTGCAAAATATTCTTACATTGTGATTATAATAGTAGTTTTTACTGTGTTTAAATAAATATCAAATAAGTTAAATAATAATCATGTAAATCTCTAAAATAGTGACTGTTATTAGTGTAAAATACACTTATACATGTTTTTCAACTAATTATGTTCCTAATTTAATGTTATCTACTTCATAACTTGTAGGGAGTTCGTTTAATTTTCAAAATTGTTTTATGGTAAGTATTAAATTGAATTTAATAATAGTGCATAATACACACTTCTGTTAGTTTTTTAAAGTGAAATTACAAGCATGAAGTCGGTTGTATGGATAATTGCTTTATTCTATTCTTTTTTTTTTTTTTTTTTTTTGTTTTTGTTTTTGTTTTTTGTTTTTCTGATAGGTCCTTAATTTTTTCTTTGATGGTCCTTAAAAGTCCTTAATTTTCATATAAGGAAATGTGTACAAACCCTATATAAAACCAATGGTAATTCTTGTAATATCAATAATATATTGTATGCTATTTTAGATTCTTTCAATGTTTCTTAAGATGCTAATACTATAATTTACTTAGCACTATATTATATATTTTCAGATGCATCACGAGCAAAATTTTTATGACATGCTTGCATGGAAAATTCAAAGTTGGGCACTAAAATATGACAGCAGTATAAAATTCATTAAACTGCTGATTAGTATTTTATCTGTCTATGGAACAGAGGTATATATTTTTCCTATTATATATAAAAATTTATTGATGCATATAGTTAACATTTACTGAAAACATTTTTGTGAAAAGTTTCATAAAACTGTGCAGAAATAAGCTAATACTTTCAAATCATTACATTTTTCTCCCCTAGCTTACAAGTCAGCATGTTTTACTATATGAAGATGTGATAAAATATAATAAAAGTATAATGAAGAAAGCTGCTGAAAATTTGGTGAAGAAATTCAAGAAGGCATGATTCCTGAATTTTCATTTTCACTTTTGATTAACATATATAAATGTGATTCAAATAAAATATATTATTTTATTTGCAACTTTTATATTTATCAGTAAAATATCTATAAGTATCATAAAAGTTTGTTGTTTTTAACAACTAAAACATTCTCTATATATACATAAATATAATAATAAAAAATACATTTAAAATTCATCTCGTATTTAATTCAGAATATAAACCACATGCAAATAGAAAAAAAAAAAAAAAGCACAGAGCAAAATGTCAAAACCAAAAATTATATTTACATCTTTTGTTGTATTATCATCAGGGAGTTAGTGCAACAAAATAATAAATAAAACAGCCTGTTTCTGAACTGACAAGGAAACAAATTAAAATTTCAAAATAATGTTACAAAAACAACAACCAAAGTTATCTGTGTCCCGAACCCAACCACTGCAGCACAAAATAAGCAGTGCAAAAATTGCAGCATCAAAACCATAGACAAATTCAAAAAACATTTTGAGTGCATAAGAGTCGAAAAACAAAACTTACAAAAATAATAATCCACCACTTGATAAAATGAAACTATATGCAAATTTTAGAGGAACAAATGAAAACATTTTTTAATTGATTGTTATTTTACAGTAAACATGATACTGCAAGCATAATTTAAAATAAAAAGGTTTCTGGAGTGAGGATTTTCAAACTATGCTTTTAAAACCTGAAAATTTCAGATTACAATTTAATATTCGAAAAAATTAGTTGCAAAAGCTTTTTTGAAAAGTATAAAAATCATAAGATGAAAAAGAACTGCAGATTAATGACGGTGGAGATTTCAGCTTAATACATGAAACAATTTTAAGCTAAGTAATTATTTAAGCTCTATTTATTTAAGGATTAATCTTCCAGAAATTAAATGTCATAGACTCTTAAACTAATGAAAACGGCAAAATAAAATGGTACAAAAATATTTACTGTGTCAAGATAATTTGTCATGTCAAGATTTGTATACTTATTAAAATAAGAAAAGACTTCAAGACATAACTATGTGTCATTACTAATGTTAACAAGTAACATTAACCCCCTAAATTAAAACATAACTATGCGTTTACTTCACAGGAACGTTTCTGTACAAGGCCTTGCAATAAATATTTCACTCAGGTAGCAATCCTTCATAATTTGCTTCAACACAAATCTGCAAACTGAAAACAATCACTTCAGAGATATGTAGTAGAAATTCTTAAAATTGGGAGAAAATATATTTTCTACTGATTATTTGGCTGAAATTATATAAAGAACTTAAAATATACTGGATGCTCGTTTATTTGAATTTGAACTAATCCAAAGGTCCTCAAAACTTGTATTGCAATTAATGTTAAAAATATCTCAGTAATTCGAACTAAGTTTTTAACATTTTGGTCAATTCGAAAAAAAAATTTTTTTTCCTCATTTAACGAAGAAAATACATGCTGTATTTATTTTTTTTATGTCAAAATCATCTGTATTTCTTTTCTGTGTAAAGAGGCACATGCGTACATTTCTAGACTATTGCGTTTCCACTGAATGTTACTGGCTATTGTCCTACTGTCCACTTCTTATCAGTGCTTAACAGACAAAGCTCCCTGGCCTGTATCCTTGAATTTATTCAGAACCCTTTATGAATGCTTTATTATGCTTTTTCGATTTAAGTCAAGGAACAATATTTCTTATCAAACTGTAGGTGGCCAAAGCTCTGATGTTAATGAAGATGTATGTACTAGTTTGCATAGGAAACTACCAAAACTCTACTTAACTGCCAAAAGATATTTTTAATGACACAAAATAACACAAAACTGCATCTTTTATTAACTCTTGCCAAACAAGACATTACATGTTAAAGGGGATGCTTGCATAAGCAGTAAACAGAGGAATAGCACTAATATGGATGCAACCAAAAGGCTTAAATTATCAGTGATTGGAAAGGCCAAGAATCCACTGTTTAAAGGAATTCAAACACTGCAAGTTGATTAGACATCTTCAGTAGCTGGTTAAAAAGAATAGATAAGTAGTTTTTGAGGAAGAAGCATAAAATTATCTTATTTGTGGATAATTCAACCCACTACAATAACCTTCCAAAACTGAGTTTCATACAGGTTGAATATTTGTCTCTAAACACAACTATGAAGCTACAACCAATGGATCAAAGAACCATCCAGAATCTTAAAACAAATTGTCGTAAGAGACTTGCAACAAATTTTTTTTTTTTTTTTTTTTTTTTTTTTTTTTTTTTTTTTAAAAGATTGTGCTGAAATCTGTGACATTACTCTGCTGAGTAAATGATCTGAGTGCCACATGTGATGCTGTTTAAAGAGAGGACAATGAGTAATTGCTTTAGTCATGCTAAATTCATGCATGACGAAAACAACAATCATACTGAAGAATGTGACAATATTGATACAGCTTTTCCTGAATTTAAAAACCAAAAATGTGATAGTCACTTTTTCTAATTATGTATGAGTAGGTGAAGACTTGGAAGTTTGTGGAAAATTAAGTGATGATGATAAAAAGAAGAGACCTTATCAGATTCAAAAGAGAATGCAGAGGCTGTCAGGCATCCTAATGATCAAGCCATAATGGACTCTAAATTCTGAAAGCATTTATTCAGATTGAATGTTCCACTGAAAATGAATTGAAATGTTTATTTCAAATCGAGAAGTTGGCTGAAAAATACAGGCATAATGGAAAAACAATTTAAAAAAAAAAAAATCAATTTTACAGTTGTTCCCAAAGTTAATTCATGTTTTCAATTAAAGTTTACTTTTTTCTGCTTCATTTTATGATTAAGGTAAGTTTTATTGCTTTTTAATATGTTTAATTTTGGATAGTATAGTATAATATATTTTCTATGGTTATACATACTAGTACATTTTTCTTCTTCAGTGATACACTTTTATAAAGTTATATTTTCTCTTAACATCAGATAATTCGAACTACTTTTCGAGAATCTTAGAGTTCGAATTAACAAAGCCTAATGTATATCCATCTCAAATAAACATGAAAAGTAAACCAAAAGAAAAAAGCTGTTAAAATCAACTGAGAAAGGACACTTCACTACAGAAAATTCTTTACCTCAAATAGAAATCAGTGAATAAATTAATATTAACTCAATAGCCTTATACAGTAAACCCTTGCTAAATGTGGGGGTTATGTCATTAAAACATTGCTCATACGTCAAAATTAAATTTCTACAGGAAGAAAATGGGTTGGGTGTAATTCAGATTAAGAAAATACATATTTCTACATATCTAAATAGTATAGTAATTAAAAGAAAATGAAACAAATATTAATTGAAGGGATTTCTATTAACGTTTAATAGACAGATGCATAATACAATTATTTATTTTAAATAGCTGGTAATTTTTACTTGGATCAATGTCTGATGCAACTTGTTAAAATTTCATGGTACGGAGTGCAAAGTTTTTCAATAACCTCTCATAACTTTTCTTTTTTTCTTACTTCAATCAATCCCCATTGCAAAATCAGACAGTTCTTGTGCCTTTTTACTTCCTTGCACGAAGTAACTTTTCGCAATTCCAATACTTCCTTTTTACTTCCTTGCACGAAGTAAAAAGGAAGTATTGGAATTGCGAAAAGTTTCAGGCAGCATATTTCAATGAAAATATCCATTTTGACCACTGCTAACGAATGCAATTTAACGATGTATTTGCATGACAATCTGTACGTAAGGACAGAATAAAAGACTTTTTCCTCAAAAAAAAAACTTGTAAAACTGCTTTAAAATTAATTCTGAAGAGAATTTTTAGTGGCGTCTGTACGAACGTATCTCGCATAACTCAAAAACGAGTAGCCTCAGAACGTTGAAAATTTGTATATAGGACTACTATAACATGTAGATGTGCACCTCCTATTTTGGTTGCAATCGGCCGCGCCAAACGTACATAAATATATTTATATATATATCCACTCTGTTACCCGGCTCGGTGATCTCAGTTTCTTTACTCTTGTATGTTTGTAAATTGTACATTTTTTGCTTTAAAAATGATTGAATTATGTTGTTCTTATCTTCCGCTTAAGGTTTTTATACCTTTAGTAAACTGTATCAGGGTTGTTTGTGGGACCCCAAAAAATCCCCTGAAACTTTTACAGACTTACTAACCGACATTTTGGAGTTTTGAGAAGGGGGGGGAGAGAAATGAAAATTACAATTATGAAGTATTGAATGACCTAATTATAAAAGTTCAATGAATTACTTTTTTTGCAAAATTAATAACCATAAATTTTCAAACATATAAACTACTACATTTTATGTAAATATTTTAAATTACCTGAATTAATTCTTTAAAAAAAAATTATCTAATTTCTGCTGCTTTTTTTTTATTTTCTGATGTTTGTGGGCTTGTCTTTCTTTGTGGTGACTTCATAATTGCAGGAGGTTGACTTTTATTTTTCTCATTTACAGTTGAAGAATTTCCTCGAGAACTGCACATGCAGAGGTAGAAGCAGTTTGCTTTTCTGCTAATGTAGAATTTCAGAGACTTTTATAGGTGACTCATCTGAAATACATGTTTTTAAGTCCTCTTGATATGTTTTCCAACTTCTGTTCATATTCAGTAAGAGATCTTTGTGAATTGGATCAGTTATTGGATTTTTTGAGCCATATTTTTCACATGAGGTTTCTTAATAGTCTGCACTGCATCTAGGGAATCAATCTTAAGAGAAGTTCTATAGTCAGTGACAAGTGTATCCATTAAGTTGAATGCACTTTCCACTAATGGGCCATGGAAGCAGCTAAGGCAGGCTTTGACCAATTTAGCCAATGTAGGATACTTAAAATCATTTGTGAAATCATCTTTTAAATTAAAAACTTTAGACCAATATTTATGTACTCTTGACTTGATTTCCACTTTCATCAGATGTGTAGAGCATTTCTTTGGTGATATCAATATCACTCTGGTATAACCTTATTTCAGCTTCTACTTTTGACTTTTCATTATCACTAAAAATATGGGACATAAAAGAAGATAATGTTTCAAAAGCTAATATTGTACTGGTTTTACCTCTTAGCTCTGGATCTAATGCTGTAAAACTAATTAGATATGAATTTTTAAGGGATAATTTCTGTTTCATATGCTGTGCTG